GGTCCCAGCTACTTGGGAGGCTGAGGCAGGAGACTCGCTTGATCCCAGGAGGTGGAGGTTGCTGTGAGCGTGATGCCATGGCACCCTACCCAGGGGGATAGCTTGAGGCTCTGTCTCAAAAACAAAACAAAACAAAACAAAACACGTGCTTCCTGATCCGAGTCCTAAAGCCTGGAGCCAGGTGCTGTCTGTTAATAGCTATTTACAGGGGCCTTCAGCAGGCCCTTTATGTGAGCTGGTCCTCTCTGGCCCGTCTCTTCCCGCTAAGCTTCCCTCTTAACCGGTGGGCACGGGCAGCAAAGCCTGGGGAGAAGTGGGGGGGGGGGGCTGCGAAGCCTAGACCCCTGGGCTTCGCGCCCACCTCGCTGAAGAGAGGGCAGCCCAAAGCGACCCCCTACCGCCTGTCCGGCCGCTCAAATCCTCCTTCACCCCCAACACCTCCTCTCCTCACAGGGTCCCAACAAAGTGAGGGTGGAGGGGAACGGCAAAGGGGACGGCACTGGGAGCACCCCCGCCTCCCAGCCGTGGGCCGAGGCCAAATAAGGCCGGGCAGCCTGCCCACCCGCCCCGCTGGCCGCGCACATTCTTCTGCCTTGTAAGGGCCTGGCCGCAGAACCCCACCCCAGACCCCGCCCCCGCCCCGCCCTGAGCCCGCCCCTGCCCCAAGCCCAAACCCGACAGCCGCCCAACTCTGCGCACCCAGCAAGCCAGCACCTTCTCCGCACTAGGTAAGAGCCCACCCCGCCGGGCCTGGGGGTCTACAGTTGGGGGGTCTGACGGCTCGGGGCTGCAGATGGTGGTGGCCTGGGCCCGACCGGCCATCGGGGCAAACTCCACAAACCGGGATGTCAGAGGGGGTGTGCTGGGCATAAACGGCGGCTGGGGCTGCAAGTTTGCTCGGGTGGTCAGGGACTCTGGCCTGGGGCTGGGCAGCAGGAAGACTTTTCTATACTCTGGGAGTCAGTGGTCCTTCAGTGAGGAACAGAGATGGTCCAGGTTCTGCCCCTTTGCTGAAGAGCTAGAGGCGCCACACCCAGGGCTCCTGGGTGCCTGGGTGAAAGGGTGCTGGGGAGAGGATTAAGATGGCCAGTAACCCCTGACGCAAAAGAGCCATGTGTATCCCAGATGGAGAGCCCTGTCGGGTTCCATGTTCCCCGGAGGATCCATGTCTCTCCCCTGTCTACCATCCCCACACCCTGGGGCAGGAGAGAGGGAAGGGAGACCAGGGAACTTCCCCATACGTAAGGTGGGCCTGGGCTTCCCTTCTAGGGACCATCTGCCCCCTGTGCACCTATGGGTGGAGAAGGCTTGCCAAGGGCCCTGTTGAACTCACTTCCAGGGGGTGGGACAAGGACTCAGAGCTGGGAGAACCTGGGCCCTGTTCCTTCCCAGCCCTCCAGCTGCTCTGGCTGCTCTCTGAGAAGAGCTGCATAAGGAATGAGGTGAGTTTATAGGGAGGCAGCTGGCATCGCCAGTGGTAAGGACTGTGAGGTAATGGGGGGCATAGGTCTGGCTTCAGCTTAAGTCTCTATAGCCATGGTGCGGTTTTGGACACCAGTAAGGGAGAGGTAGCATCTAGTCACAGCCAGGGCAAGTATCAGCGATGTTTGATCCCTGGTGTCCAAGACCCCTGGAGGGGAAAACAGGGGCTCCAGGGCTAAAGACCCAGCCTGCCCCTGACCTCAGTCCCTCAGCCAACTCTAGAAACTGCCTCTGGTCATAGAGAGCCTTTTACCACTCAGCTGCCATAGGACCAGGATGAGCTTCTTTGGATGGATGTTTCCTTTTTCTGTTCAGGCCTAGAAGGCACCCAGTAACCCAAACCTAGTCCAGGAGTCCTGGCTTCCAGTTGACCTCCATGCCCTTCATAGACACACCTCTTCCCTTTTTAGGCCCTTTTTTCTAACTGCACAGTAGAGGGGGGATCCAGTCCCCCCCATCCCTGTTTCCCATGATTGTGAGAATGGATGTGGTGGCCTTGTGCAAACTCTCAAATTCAGTACCTACCCAGCCACGTCATGGCTCCACAAGGGAAAAGAGTGGGGTTGTGGCAGCTGTGATAGCAGAGGGTTCCAGCCAAGCTCAGAAAGAGCAGTGGGTGGGCCTGGCCATGCCTGCCCTAGAGGTTTAGGGACAGGAGGGTGGCTGTGGCAATGATGGCCATTGCCAATCACAGCCCTTCCTGAGCACAGTGGGTTTCTCCTATGTGAGTAGCCTTCTGTGAGGTACAGGAGTCAAAGTTCCCAAAGAACACTAGGCTCAGGGAAGGATCAAGCCCCTCCAAGCCACGGAGAGGAAGGAGGCCAGCTTCTGGAAACAATAGCACCCCTTGCCCTCTGCACCTTCCATCTCCTACCCAGGTCACAGATAAGAAGGGCTTCTATCTATTCCCTGTACTCATCTGTCCCCAAACCATGCAAGAAACACCAAGGGCTGGGTGTGTCAGGCCATGGGATGCAGGTAACCACTGTCTCACGACAAGGTGGTCTGGGGATCCACTGGGGGTGGCCAGGATCCCAGCTCAGGATTTAAGATCTCACAGGCCAAGGACCAAGAAGGACTTGAAAGGGGTTCTGGGATGAAGGCCTGAAAGCAGCTTGAAGAGCACTCATAACCACACAACTTGAGGTGAAAAGAGGCAGATTCCTGGAAGGCCTGGAACAAGGAAGGGGCCCAGGGCAAAGGAAAGAGGGGGTCAGCATCCCATGGTCTCACCACTGACCAGCTAAGAGGAAGAAGGCACTAGGTCTTTGGCATATAGGCCCTATAAACTCTGACAAGGGTTCATGGAAAGAGTTCTTTGCCTGGCCTCAGTTTTCCCACCTAGATGGTAGATACAGCAGACTGGCCCCAGTTGCCCTTATATCATCATTCATTAAATAAGCATTAGCCTCACTGAGGCCTATGATTGGTGTAAATTGGAGGATTTATGCTGGCTCCCATTAGAGGGAGAGAGATCTTTAAATGTTCACCATCAAACCAAGAATTAAAGGAATAGCTCCCTGAGGGGGTGTGTCAAGAACTGGGCTGGAGGCCAGACAAGTAGCTCACACCTGTAATCCCAGCATTCTGGGGAGCCAAAGCAGGGATTGTCTGAACTCAGGAGTTTGAGACCAGCCTGAGCAAGAGTGAGACCCTGTAGCTACTAAAAATAGAAAAGCTACGGGCAGCACCTGTGGCTCAGTGTGTAGAGTGCCGACTCCACATACCGAATGTGGCGGGTTCAAACCCAGCCCCAGCCAAACGGCAACAAAAAATAGCCAGTCGTTGTGGCAAGCGCCTGTGGTCCCAGTTACTCGGGAGGCTGAGGCAAGAGAATCGCCTAAGCCCAAGAGCTAAAGTTGCTGTGAGCTGTGATGCCACAGCAATCTACCAAGGGCGACAAAGTGAGACTCTGTCTCTAAAAAAAAAATTAAAAAATAAAAATAGAAAAACTAGCTGGGCAGCATGATAGGTGACTGTAGTCTCAGCTACTTGAGAGGCTGAGGCAAGAGGATCACTTGAGCTCAAGAGTTTGAGTAGCACAGTGGTTACAGCACTGACAGGTCTGAACCCAGCCCGGGCCTGCTAAACAACAATGACAACAACAACAAAAAATAGCCAGGTGTTGTGGCGGAAACCTGTAGTCCCAGCTACTTGGGAGGCTGACGCAAGAGGATCGCTTAAGCCCTAGAGTTTGAGGTTGCTATGAGCTGTGATACCACAGCACTATAACAAGGGCCACATAGTGAGACTCTATCTCAAAAAAAAAAAAAAAAAGAACTGGGCTGGAGGAGGAAGAGCAATGTAGGAGGAGGGAGCAAGGAGGGAAGTCTGGGAATGGCTGGGTAATAGCTTGGCAGCACTACAGACCAAAGAGGGACACAGTGAGGGTGGCTGGCCAGTCACAGAAGCCAGGAGTTCACAAAGGGCCTTGAATGCCAGGCTGAGAGGCCCACACTTGCTCTGAGGGGGAGGTGGGCTGCAAGGTGACAGGTGCAGATCTGGGTCTGTGGGTGGGAGAGACAGGCTGGTGGCTAGAAGCCGGGTCTAAACAAGGGTGAAGAGGAGCTGGGGCTCTCAGGCCAAGGAAGCCTCACACCCTGTGAGCATAGGGAGTGCAATGGAGGCGGAAGACCCAGGATCACCCTATTGCACACCCAGGGGCTGGCAAGCTCCCAGAGAAGGGCAGGCAGGGAGCAGACTGCCCAGAGAACAGCAGGCAACACAGAGAGATGGAGGGGACAGAGGAGGAGGAGCAGAAGGAGGAATGTCAGGAACGCAGGGCCGCTGACCCAAGGGGGGCCCTACTGGGAGAGTCGGGGAGGGGTGGCTCACTGCCTCCCGCATATTGACAAACCTCTGTCACTTGCAGAGAGAGATGGACAGGGTAAATGCTATTAAGGATTAAAGGAGATAAAGTAAACCATGTTAATGGTTGGCACCAAGCCCAATCCTGAGTGTTTGACTCAGTCACAGCAACAATAGCGTACCCTATGGCCGGCACTGTTCCAGGGACACTAAGTCAGTTAATCCCCACTGCCAGGCACTCCTCATGTGCCATTCCCAGGACACTCATGCTCAAGAGAGATAGAGGAAGTTGTTCAAAATCACACCTTGCCTGCTTTTGTGAACATCTGGGTGGCAGGAGCCCCAAGCCTGTGGAAGGTCTGTGAATGCTAAAGGCCCATATAGGGCAGCCTGAAAGATTCCCTGGCCCAGGCTCATTTGCTTCCCACGCCCTTCCTGTAGGGAAGCTACCCACCTACACCTGAAGCCAAGATGTCCAGCAAACGGGCCAAGGCCAAGACCACCAAAAAGAGGCCACAGCGGGCCACATCCAATGTCTTTGCGATGTTTGACCAGTCCCAGATCCAGGAGTTTAAGGAGGCCTTCAACATGATTGACCAGAACCGTGATGGCTTCATTGACAAGGAGGACCTGCATGACATGCTGGCCTCACTGGGTGAGCAAGGATGGGGATGGGGTGGGGTCTCAGGGGCCCCAGACAGGGCTGTTCATCACTTACAAAGCATTCCTGCTTTGTAGGGTGACACATGGTACCCACCCTAGAAGGTAGTTGTCATGACTTCATTGGTTTAATAGGGAAAATGAAGAACAGAACAGTTGGGGGATTTGCCTAAGGTCCAGCTCAGTGTCTGAACCTGGCAGGCTGCCTCCAGCTTGGGACTATTGAGGGCAGATTTGTGTGTTGGGCTGCCGGGTAACATTTCATTTAAAGAGAGGGAGCAGGGCCGTGGGCATGGCAGCTCATACACCTGTAGTCCCAGCTACTCAGGAGGCTAAGGTAGGAGAATTGCTTAAGCCCAGGAGTTCAAAGTTACAATGAACTATGACTACACCACTGCCTGGGCAACACAGCAAGACCGTATCAAAAAAATAAAGAGAGATGGCTCAGTGCCTGTGGCTCAAGCAACTAAGGCGCCAGCCACACACATCTGAGCTGGCAGGTTCAAATCCAGCCCAAGCCCACCAAACAACAATGACAGCTGCAACCAAAAAATAGCCAGGTATTATGGCATGTGCCTATAGTCCCAGCTGCTTGGAGGCAGAGGCTGAATAATCGCTTGAGCCCACAAGTTGGAGGTTGTTGTGAGCTGTAATGCCACAGCACTCTACCCAGAGTGACAGCTTGAGGCTCTGTCCCAAAATAAAATAAAATAAAATAAAATCTGTCTCAAAAAAAAAATAATAATAAAGAGAGGAATCAGTATCTAAATGAAAGTTTGAACTGCACAGACGTCCCACCATACAGATAGGAAAACTGAGGCCTAAAGAGGCCAGAGCATCTCCTCTCCATCAGAGGTTACCCATCCCAGGCTCTCAGAGCCTCTCTGACCCCAGTGACTTCCTGGATCTTAGAGCTTAAAAGGGCTCAGGAACCAAGTCTAATTTGCCAGAGACCACACCCCCACCTATGGCCATGGCCCACATCCCTGCCCTTATGCTGGCTATACACACACTGTCAGCCCAGTTCCTGGCATACCCTTCAGTGGGTGAAAGCATCTGGCCCAGATTATGGCTCAGGGAGCCAGAATCTGGGATTGGGGGAGGTGATGGTCAAGCCTCAAGCTTTGCTGCCAGACAACCCTGAGTCAGTCCTTGGCCTGTTTTGCCTGTTTCCTTCCCTGTGTAATGATGACCATGGCCCTCAATGTATCCAACAAGCTGTGTGGTGGGAAGACCAGGCAACCCTGAGTGGGAGGGCTGATAGGACACTGCCCTCAACCTGGTTGCCAAACCCTTCCCAGCTTCAGGCCAGGCTCACTTGCATGTCCCCTCCCCTAATGTCAGCTGGCAGGGAGTAAACTCCAGGCCTTTTACCTGAGGCCCTCCCAGCTTTGGCCTGGTGAAAGGAGGGACTGGCCCAGGGTGCCCAACTGGGGTCCTAATGTCACAGCTCCTTCAGGCCTCAGCTTCCCTGACCATCCCATGGGACACACAGCAAGGGTGTGTGAGGCTCAGGGGAGACAGGGATATGAAGACTCCTTGCCATTTACAAGGCAGAACCCCCATACCCAAGACTTGATGACAGCCCTGGTTATCTACCCAGAAAAATACACATTCATGTTTGTAGTTCATGCAGATCAGTCATGGCCTTCTAACTAAGAACATCATTTTCTGGTTAAAAAAGCCTAAAGAGGCTCGGCGCCTGTGGCTCAGGCAGCTAAGGC